GCTATCTCCACCCTTATTGAGGAAGGGCGTTGGTACTTACCTGATACACCTCTTCTAATAAGGTGGAGATAGCATATAGGAGGACTGTTCCTCCTTAAGAACCGAGGTGGCGCAGTGGTTAAATGCAGCACTGCAGGCTACTTCAGCTGACTGCAGTTTTGCAGTTCGGCTGTTCAAATCTCACCGGCTCAGGGTTGACTCAGCCTTCCATCCTTCCGAGGTGGGTAAAATGAGGACCCGAATTGTTGTTGGGGCAATATGCTGACTCTGTAAACAGCTTAGAGAGGGCTGAAAGCCCTATGAAGCGATATATAAGTCTAACTGCTATTGCTATTCTTGTTATTGTGATTAATTTATTGTTCTGATTGATGGTTGGGAGAGTTTGTATATTTTTGTTCCGGTTAGTGCATGGAGTTGTGTACCAGTAAATTATGGTTGGATAACACGTTGAGTCTGTGAATTTTTCGCCGGAAAGCTGGGTGGGGACACTCACAAGGCGGGTTATATATGCAGTTAATTAATTAATAATCAGACTCAGTCCAATCAGAGCACGGACCATGTTAACCCATTCGTGGATGCTATCTCCACCTTATTAGAAGAGGCATATCATGTAAGTACCAACACCCTTTATTAGATTAGATTAGAGAAAGGGCAACAACTTAGTTTCTATTCATGGGCCCAGAGACCAAGCACATTGTTGAAGAACAACGAACAGAAGAAGCCTAGATACATTCTCTATCATTACAAATGGATTCGTACAAATCCAATAAAAATGAGTTGTACTCTCTGGTAATTGTATGAAGCCATTACTGGGCTTTTACCATCACACAGGTCTGGCTTCCTATTGCCATATTGATGTCACTGTAGTTAAACTAAGAGCTTCTTCCCTAATCAGCAAATGTTTTTACAGTCATGGGGGAGGGAGTTTTCCTTTCTAACTGGAAGATGAATAGGGATTGGTTAATGCATTTCTGGGATTATCTATTGATCAGGAATGGTGAGTTCTGATTAATGGAGTGGCAGTTCAGACTTGCAAAGACAGGTTCTAGTAAGGAAAAAGAAATCTAATGAAAAGAATATTTAATCTAGCAAGTTGGTTGTTTCCCTTTTATTAAATGTATTCAAACAGATGCTAGATAGAAACCTGCCAGGGATGTTTTAATTATGATTTCATCACTGAACTGTACTTTGAGTCCATGGCCTAATATTGTCCTTCCAAATAAGTGATGCCATGGTTTTGTTTTATTGTATTATTCAAAGTAAAACACATAAATCATTAGATACAGAGGTGGGTTCCTACTGATTCGCACTGGCTCAGTGGAACCAGTAGTGGAAATGGCAACTGGGTCTCTGAACCGGTAGGGATGGCAAGCTCGCCATACCCCCAAATTGGTTCCCCAGTCACCATGACATCTTTTTCTGACTTTTTAAAATGTTCTGTGCATGCGCAGATCTATTTATAGACTACTACGCACGTGGAGTGTGCGTCAGGTGTGTGCACGAGCAAAATCGCGCATGCACTGAACCAGCAGTAATGCCAGCAGAAATCCACCCCTGATTGGATAGTATGACGTTTTGCACACTTAATCCAAAGAGGAGAATGTGGTACAATTGAAAGTTTTTAAGGAATGTTTCCTAGCTGGGTATCATGAAGACAGACATGCAAAAGAATGGGGCTCGCAATTAGTTCAGTATAGGCCAGCTATAAATCCCATTCATTTCAGGGGACTGCAAAAATCTCATCACACAAACTTTTTGACATGTGGCTGGTGGCCGAGGTCTCCCCCTTGTTTTTAATCATCCAGAGTTTTTTTCTTTTCTTTTCTTTAGCTACCCTACTGCTTCTGGTCCGGTGAGTGTTGCAGAAGAGTTCTTTATAATTTGGAATACTGAACAAGATGCCGGCCAATTTCTGAGACATTTTTACAGCCTAAGTGAAAAGAAAATATGCAAATGGTTAAAGGAACCTAGTATACCCAGAAAACAATTAAGGCTCATCAAGAAAAGAAATTAAAACAGATTCAAGTTTCTTGTTATGAGCTGATGTATAGAAGTACATTTAAATATGGAAATCTAATTTTGCATTCCCCTCCCTTTCCCTTACTTTCAAATAGAGGTAGTCCTTGATTTACAACAGTTCACTTAGTGGCCATCCAAAGTTACTGAAAAAAAGTGGCTTATTACCGTTTTTCACACTAGCGACCATCCCTATGGTCACATGATCAAAACTGATTGCTTGGCAACTGACTAATATTTCTGACAGCTAAAGCATCCTGGGGTCATGTGATCCCTTTTGTGACCTTCTGACAAGCAAAGTCAATGTGGAAGACAAATTCATTTAACAACCATGTTACTAACTTAACAATTGCAGTAACGCACTTAATTGTGGCAAAAAAAGTTGTAAAATGGGGCGAAATTCACTTAATAAATATCTTGCTTAGCAACAGAAATTTTGAGTTCAAATGGAATCATAAGTTGAAGAATACCTATACAATTTCTTTTCGGTTGAAAAACACTTTGCTAATTCACCTTATGAATTTTGAAATGGAATATATCAACATTATATAGAACTTTGTCCCCTCTCTATAATAACTACGGGATTTTGAATTGTTAATAATGTACAAATAATTTTATTTTAGTTGTCTTCTGTTCACCAATTCCTTCAATCAATGAATCTTCCCTAATTGCATTTGCCAAAACCTCCATCAATAATGCAAATAAAACTGGAGATAAAGGGCAATCTGGTCTGATTTCCCGGCTTAAGGTTATTGCCTCTGTAACACCATCATTGATAACTATTCTTCCTTTATTCTCTGAATATAGTTGATTTATCACTTTTCTACAAAAATTTACAAACTGGAATTTTGTATTCAATTTTCTATATTTCACATTCAAAGAAATGAGTGGTATAATGAAATCTGGAGTATGGCAACAAATAATAAATTAACAACAGAAATTAAATTTAAGAAATAAATGATTAAAGTAAACCATTATAATGAAATATGGGGGGATTTTATAAAAACAGTGTTGGTGGAAGGCAAAAGGAATAAGCCTACTGAAGAATATATGTTATTTTGGAGGGGATAAGGGCACAATTGCAATATATTGTATCTGTTAGTTGTTATAGAAGAAATATAAGGGGGGAAATGGTCTGGGGGGGTGCACTGCAATATTTGTATTCTTTTCCTTTTTTGTATTTAGATTTATATGTATTATGTTTGTATTATTTGTATTCAAAATTTAAAAATATTAAAAAAAACATTATATAGAACTGAGCTGCATAGGTTCCCAGTGGATTTCCAGGTGCAATTTAAGATGCTGGTAATTACTTATAAAGCCCTTCAAGGCAAAGGCACCATTATTTGAAGGCCTGCTTGATCAGTAAGATTGAAAAACGTTGGTGCCCTTCAAGTCCCTTCAATCAAAAAGTGCTATTTATTGAAACCCAGGAAACCTGCCTTCTCATGAAACTGTCCCCTGGTACAAGACACCTCCCCTCCGCCAGAGATCCAGCTTCCACCCTGACAATGTTCCAGAAATTTAAAAACACAGCTGTTTTCCCAGGCCTTGCAACGGGTGTTTGTGCAGCCTTGTCAGTGTTTATATTTATATGTGAGATACAATTGAAAAGCTACTTCAGATTCTACCTTGTTTATCTGTTTTTATATTGTGAGCTGCTTAGTTTTAGAGTCAGGTGGCCTTCCAAATCTGATTGAAACATAGAGATATACTAGCAAAGAAATGAAAAAAATAAAATACAACAGTAAATTAAAGATGTATTTACCGGTGAGAGCCATTGACAGACAAAATTCATCTTTTAAAATCTTCAAAAGTTCTTGAAGTCCTTCTTTACCCTGTTTCAAAAACAAATAGCATTGTAAATGATGTGGCTGACATAGTTTGACGATGTAGAGAATCCTGCAATTTTCAAATAAAAGGCTCTCAGTAACAGCATTTTCTATGATGTTGGCAGTATATTTATTTTTCTTTGGTTTCTAATCAGAATTGTCAGCGTTTAAAGCTATGTAAAACCTGTTGGCCCTATCTGAGCAAGATGCTAGTGCCTTGACTGGGGGAAAAGGGATGTAGGCTAACTATATTCAATTTCCAGTTCTCAAAAAATATTACTTGTCTCTTACCCATTCCCAAGAGTATTTGGAAATCTTCAGTCTCTAACAGTATTACTGAGAGACCAAATAAATTGGCGCAGTAGGGAAATTTGAACTAGTTATTAGATATGTATGAACCTGCCTCAACCATTTCATTTACCATCCAGGTTTCTTGGTACTATTTTGGGTTGCAACTTTTTTTCATGGATTAAAATAAAACTGGTTCCTACCAGTTCTAACCTCTTCTATAGAAAAGGTTCCACAAATCTACAGTGCCGTTTAGAACCGGTTCCAGCTCCCTCCTCCTGCCCATCCACACATCTTCAAGATGAAGAGCGAGAGGAGGAATTCTGGGAGTTGAAGTCCACAAGTCTTAAAGCTGTCAAGTTTGAACATCCCTGGGGTTTTTTCCCCTAAAGGTTTAGGGGTGCAAGGGTCTTGTATCTTGACAGCTTTAAGACTTGCACACTTCAATGCCAGAGTTTCTGAGCCAACATTTTGGTTATTAAGCAAAAGTTTTGTTAAGTGAGTTTCACCACATTTTACAAGTTGGCCACACCCATCCAGTCACATGACTGCCAAGCCACTCCCACTCAGTCACATGGCCGGCAAGCCACTCCCACAAAGCAGGCCACACCTATAGAAGAGGTTCAAATTTTTTTTGAAACCCACCACTGTCTCATTTACATATTTAACCTCCATTCAGACTTTTCATATGTTAGTTACACCAAAATACATTGTATAATTGTTTCTGCTTAGTAGAGTAAATTTTAGAATCTTGCAAATTTGATCTAAGGATCATGGATTTATGTTCCTACTAATTATTATTATGTTACTGCAGTATTTTATTTGCAACTTATCTAATAACCAGAAAGAAACTGAAACCAGTGTAGAAAACAGGGATCATTTCTGGGTTAGGAGAATACAACTGTCCGGTGGGTCTAAAAAAAAGACAAGATTTTATTTATTGGATACCAGAAAATGGGAGGGGGAGAGCCAAAAATATCAAGATGGCAATTCTAATTATACAATCAAGATCCTCCTCCTTTTAAATGTGTTATGTAAAACATGTTAAATGGGCCAAGGCTTTGATTGTATGATCATGGCTACCAAGTTGACTTTTTTGACCCTCTGGCAGATGCCTTGCAAGGAGAGTCTAATTTTCTCCAGAATGATTTGATTACAGCTTTCATTTTAGTGCAGTTCTAGCGACCTTATAACATACCATCGCTTTCTTCTTTAACTTCCATGCCTCCAGCTATCATAAAATTCAGTAAAGCGTACTGTGGCTATAATTAGGTTTCTCTTTATAGGAAAGGGTATAATGATCTATAAAAAAGGCAGGGATGTGCTCAAGCACATGAGAGACCAAGATTAAATGCTAGCAGATTTTTTTTATGCCTGACCAAGAGCTTGTTTGTAAAAACTCAGCTTTTGCTTTCTGAATACCAGCTTTTCCTATGGTGAACAATCAATTTGATTTAAAACTCCCTTTCTACATAGAGATTTTTCTCCACTATCCTTACTTGAATTATAACATGTCACGCTAAGAGCCTGCTGCATCAGAGACCTGAAGTAAATCTCAAAATATGTGTATGTGAATGTGAATGTGAGCAGACGTAATGAAGCTTACTGAATAAATCAAGTTTGTACATTAAACTTGATCGTTAGACAGGCATGCAGTATGAAATCAAATGTGAAGCATCATCTAGTGAGTGCAAATCTAGAGAAAATGGGGCAGCTGACTTTAAATAAAGAGACAGCTATTTATCTTCAACTTTTTATCATAGCCATTGGTATGCAGGGAGTTGTTCACCTTATAGGCCAAACCCCACACTGTGGGTCTGCCGATGAAGACACATTTTGCTCCAAGTGCCAATGCTTTCAACACATCATTCCCTGTTCGTACTCCACCATCCAAGTAAACTTCGATTTTGCCTTGCACTGCAGTAGTAACTTCAACCAGAGCAGCAATCTGCAAACATGATCAATCAAATTAAATTATTACAATTGCATGGGATGAGGTGGGGTGTGTGAGTTCTTAACTAAAACAAAAGACTCTTTTTCGGTTAAATCCCAGTAAAATACAGGTTGTAGTGCTGAAAAAATCCCAAATGACTGAATACAAGAATATCTGAAGGACATAAACCTTCAGTATAACCTGGTTGTCTATTCAAATTATTGCCCAAGAACCACTTGTATATCTCAACAATCCCCGATATCCATTTGATTGGGGAGGAAGAAATGGATCTTCAGGGGCTGTACTTAAGCTGAGGAATTCCTTTCCAAGAGAGACCCCAAATAAATTAATATCCTATTAACAAGTTTTGCAAAAATTGATTTAAACTTTTTACAAGAAGACTTCTTTTTTATTTTTATCAAAAGCTGCTATAATGATTTACTGTCTATGATGCAGAGTAACAATTTTATTGCTGCTTTGCCATATGTCATACCCAGGGGTGGGTTCCGGCAGCCACTACTGCCGGTTCGCTCGTGGTACTAAAAAAAATGCTTCTGCACATGTGCAAAGCCAAAAACAAGATGGTGGCACTGGTTTGGGGGCATGGCAAGCCTGTGTCGCTGCCCATTCCAGCAACCCAGGTTGCCAAGTTACTACCGGTTTGGCCAAACTGGTCTGAACCGGTAGGAAACTATCTCTGATTATATTGTGACGTTTATTCTGTGATGTTTGGGAACCTAGCAGCTGAATGGATGAATCTCATATTTTAAATGGGGTTATAGTTTTCTAACTTTAACTTTACTCAGGAAGGATCCTTACAATGAAAATGCAACATTGTTTGCTATAGCCAGGATGCAAATAGGATAAATAATGGCTCATGACTTGCAGTAGGAAGGACTCCATCTAGCTGTCTTCCTCCGTGGTTGGATACGATAATCCCTTGAACCCCATGTCTCACAGCTAGCTCAGCATCTTCCTTTGTCAAAATCCCCTTGATGATGATTGGCAGCTGGGTCAGACTTTGTAGCCAAGTGATGTCATTCCAATTGATAGATGGGTCTATGGATCCAGGGGGCAGACCATATTCAGTCTGGTCTTCATCCTGAAAGAGAGAGAAAGATGGAAATTTCATTACCATTGTATGCCTATGTCTGTTTTAGTAAATGCTAGCTTACACAGGGGTGGGCTTCTACAGGTTTGCCCAGGTTCAGGAGAACCCATAGCTAACTTTATGGCTGGTTTGGAGAACCTCCAAATCCCATCCCCAGCTGGCCCCAGGTATCACTCTAAAGCTGACAAATTTCATGAACATTCTCCTAAATTTTCTGGTGCTTCATGTTTCATAGTCTAGTATATAAGTAGCCTTTTGACACCATTTTGCTATTCCTCATTTTGTTGTAAGGAAACCTTGTAAGTTTGCAAGAGATTGTAAGAGTTGTGACAATAAGTGTTAAAATACCATCAAGGCTAGGAACATCCGCACCCCAGATTAGCCTCAGGATGCTCAAGAACATGTCGCTTCGGTAGCTAACCCAAGGAGAACCACAGAAAATAGCAGTGTGAGCTTCCTTCCCGGGGAGACAGAGATAGAGCTCCAGGAAAAGGAAGGGTGATGAAGAAATGCCAAATACTCTTTTATAGTTCAAGGAAATTTCTTCTTTTTTATGGTCATTGCTTAGTACAATCTGATACAGAGTGAGCAATTACCCCAAGAACTCATTTACTGTAACCAGGAAAACTTCTTGTCGTTTGGGATTGCATTGCTTTTCCGTGACCCTTTTCTCAAGGAGAGGAAAGTGGAAATCCATTTTTCTTCCTCATCCCCAGGGTTCATCACTAAAAGTTTGGCATTTCCATATCTTAAAGAGCTGATAAAAGTTGTCTTCACCAGGACTTTCAAAACTTGCAGAGTTAAGAGTCGCCTGACTTTTCATTTTCATTCCATTTCTATAGTTTGAGCCTGGAAAAAGCTTCCACAACAAACCCCTTCCAGCAATGTATATTTCTGACTATTAAGTACAAATATGCAAAGTATATTCTAGATTTGTCCCCTCCCCAGCTAATACCCCATACTTGAGCTTATTTTGAGGAATAGATTTAATTTTGGATGGCTCAGTCTTTTATTACATACTAGCTGGATACCCGTGCTTCGCGACAAAACTATGTGATCAGGCAATGCAGGAGAAATCCGATTCACTCCGGTTCAATCCAATGGGGGTTGGTGATTTAAATACATAAGGGAATACTGCTCCTGCTGCCTTGAGTTTGGAAGCAGTTCCATAGGTAGACATTTTGGTGAGGTACTGACGTTTAGTACTGTAAGAGCTCCTGAGTGAAGGAGTGGAACGTCTGCCAGTTTGAACTGCAGTAACAGAATGTGAGGCAACTGGCACTTGGAACAGAGTTCTTTTCAGGTGAGGAGAGGGAGTAGAAAATGTCTAACTCCTTAGCGTCAGAGTGTTTAAGGCAACTCGTAGTTGGAACAGAGTTCTTTTCAGGTGAGGAGAGGGAGTAGAATCAGAGGTATGTTTCAAATCCCGGCGCTACCAGTTCGCTCATACTCACATGTGCGCTTGCTGCTTCGCCGGGTAGGTGGAGCCTCCCGCCATCGCCACTAACAGTTCGGTCAATCTGGGCCAATCCGGGAGCAACCCACCTCTGAGTAGAATGTCTAACTCCTTAACATCAGAGCGTGTTAATATAAGGCAACTGGCAGTTGGAATAGAGTTTTTTTCAGGTGGGAGTGGAGGTAGAACTCCTTAGCATCAGAGTGTGTTAATTACTGTATAAGAAATACTAATAATCTGATGGTCATTTCAAAAAATCCTTTCTTAGCGAGCACCTAGAAGCCAAGAGGAATATACGTGCCAAATTTCAAGTTTGTAGGCTTTACGGTTCTGGAGATTTCGTGATGACTGAGTGGTACTTGGCTTTTATATATATAGATTATTATTGTATATGTAATGGTCTTTGTCATTTTCTGTATGAATAATCAAGAATTAAGAATAATTACAAAGAACTATATTGTCACAATGGCTCAGCTATTGTGGTGTAGTGTTCACACAATGTGGTATGAATTAGTCTGGATTTTTAGCCAATAAGGCCCTTTTGGTGGTATTTCTGGTCTAAAAAGACAAAGTAATGGTTGTGAAATGCTGACTTTCAGAATTTCCACAGGAAAAATAAAAATGAAATAAACATGAAATGTTGTTCACAAAACCACATGTACTCATATCAGTAGTAAATATTAGACAACAACTGTTACTTGAATGTCAAATATTAAGTGCTAATAATAAAATATCTTTATTAGAATATTTGCTTAAGAACAATACAATATAATGGATAATTTCTTTCCAGGGTTGGAAAATAAAGGAATCCATTATTACAGCTTCCTCAATTGATGGCCATTCAACCGTCAGCCGTCAGACAAAATCGATCAATAATTAATATTGGTATTTTTAAAATAATTTTCAGAGAGAGAGAGAATTTAGTCAGCTGTTAACATTATAGGTTATTAGTAATTCAGAAGATAATACTTCAGAAACGAATTCTGTACATGTGAACTTGCTATGTTTAAACATCACATGACGTTTCCCTTCCGGAAGCTTACGTACAGCTGTTTAGGGTGAGGTTTTCACGGTGACATCATTAATTCAGAGGATTCAGTCCTAGAAACAGTTAACACCTCAGTAGAGGAAGCTGCGTAGGGAGGCAATTCTAAACCCTAGTTTGCAGATTGCTTATCAGTCAGGATTCCAAAATGTGCAAGCATGTTTGGATTCTAAGATTCACCATCCTTTCCTTCACATGCTTTTTTTAAATTGATGGATGGTCGGAGTTACTAACCTCAAAAGCTCCTTTAAAGTTCTTCACTTGGATGGATTTCAAGAACTGGTAATTGTTGCGGATGTCATCCCGCCTCCTGCCCGTGTAGGGCACGTCAACTGTGAGCACCAGGGCCTGGAATCCCAATGCATTAACCCGTCGTACCAGCTGCTCTGAGAACGTCCTCTTCCGATGGAGGTAGAGTTGGAACCACCGTAAACCATTAGGTGCAGCAGCAACAATTTCTTCCACAGAGAAAGTGGAATAAGTGCTGGCTATGTAGCAGGTATTCATAGCTTCTGCCGCTTTAGAAAATATGGAGGGAAGGGGGAAAGAGTCAAAACTGACTTCTATAATTAAGTCTCAGCCTGATCATCTACTGCTTCCCATGCAGCCAATAAGTCCCAATTTAAGACTTTGGTGTGGGGAGGAGTCAATGGGTGGCACTGTAATTGAAGCTCTGTCCATTTTGTATGTAGATCAACATTGTGTGACAGGTACAAAGGAGGAGGACTATGTTTGCAAGTCAGCAGAGAACTTTTCCATTTGCTGCTACATCAGATGTAATATCTTTTGTTATGGCATTGCCCACTTCAAGATATCCTGCTACATAGGTGTCATTTGGGTGACTGAAAGTAAAGTATTAACAATGAGCAGAGCATTTTCTACATAGAAGTCTATCAGTCATTATCCTACATTGTTCCAAGTCCTAGTCCATATTTTCCGAATTCTGAGTGCCTTAAAAATTCAGCCCCATTTCCCTGACAGTAAGCAGCTGTGCAGTTAATACTGGCATGGAGCCAAAGGAAATGCCTTGGCTGGACTTTTGACCAGGCAGTCACAGGCAAGGTTGTAGCCATTCTGTTGGAGGAAGAAAACTGTGCATGGATGGATGGATGGAGGGATTGAAGGATAGACAGAGTTCATGTATATACCCACTCACATACCTGTGCGCATGTATGTAAAAGTAGTAAGTCAGAATTCTGTGTTAGAGGAATGAATACAAAGCCAAAGTAGAAAGGCGCCAGATTGTATCCCCTTTGGGATACTTGCCACAACAATCTTCATGGCACAGGGGGAAAGCAAAGCAAACACCCACCTCCAAAAGTAGATTAAGCAGGAGCAGCCCAAATCTCTAGTTCTTTTTTTGTCCTTCTTTAGCTATTTATTTGGGGGTCAAATTAGTTGCTTAAGGAACCCTTGCCTCCTGGAGTGCCATATATTTTGCATGCAGCAATTCAAGCCCTGCATGCGATTCCCTACTAAAAGAAATTGGGTGGACTCACAGTGCAGATGCCCTGTGGGAAAGAACTAGTGTGTTCTGTTGTCTCTCTCTCTCTCTTTAAATTTACAATTACCATTAGGTTTAGTAGATGATAGCAATAGCAATAGTATTTATATACCGCTTCACAGTGCTTTACAGCCCTCTTTAAGTGGTTTACAAAGTCAGCCTATTGTCCCCAACAATCTGGGTCCTCATTTTACCCACCTTGGAAGGATGGAAGGCTGAATCAACCTTGAGCCTACTGAGATTTGATCTGCCAAACTGCATTCTAACAACTGTACCAATGTAGCTCTTTAGATGATAGATAGATGATAGATAGATGATAGATAGTTAAATAGGTGGATGGATGGATTTACAATGGCTTGTTTTCTTTTGAACCCACCATACCATAATTCCATATCCTATAGACCAGAAACTATTTCAGCAAAATTATTTTTGGCCTATACTGTTGCTAGGGGAAAAGATTTTTGCATACCTCGAGCTGTGCTCTGCTCTCCATCAGGACAAGCCAAACCGTGGAAGCCAGTGGGAGCAATCCCCACTGGGAAGTCAATTTCAGAGCCAAGAATCGTTGTCCTTGGATCTATTGCCGACATATCCCGCAGCACACGTGGCCGCAAATAGATTCTGTGGGATGACAAGAGAGCAGAAGCAGCAGGGCTGATAGGAGGTAATTGAAGGAAGTCCAGAAAAATGAACTTTTCCTATCTGTTTGCTTATCCATTTATTTTCCTATCCATTATTCAATCTACCATAATAACCTCAAGCAACGTCCTAGATTTTGTCATGTATCCTGAATTGTGCAATGGCTGAGAGCAACCAAATGTGTGCTGCAAAAGTGGTATGTGTGTCATTGCTGCCATCTAGTTGTCCAGATGTTTTCAATGCAGATCTGATAGCCCTGCAGTGGCACTGATCTTGCTCAGTTTTTAAGGCCTATAAAGAAGATACGAATGACGATGCAGCCCTGTGAAGGAGAGTGTTTTTGGTGTTGCTAGTCTTGAACTCTTTGTGACTGCATGGAGAAGTCCCTGCTAATTTCTTGGGAACATTTTCAGAAGTGACTTGCCAGTGCCTTCTTCCTATGCTTGAAACACAAAGACTTGCTAAAAATCATCTCGCTGGTTTCCTGCCTAAGGGAAAACTGGAATGGGGTTTTCCCACTCCTGGGTCAGCACTTTAACCACTGCACCATTCGAATGGCCTTTGAAGGAGGGATGCCATAGTCTATAGACACAAGTTACTCTTGCATTTACCCAGCTACATCCTACAGTTAACTCTTTCAGTGACAGACAATGAGAAATAATCTTGCTAAACACTGAAGAAGACACTAAATCAGAGAAGAGAGAAACCAGCCATCTTTCTTACTTGGATATAAAAGTTGCAGGCAGGCAGTCCTTTTATTATGTAAACTTAGTTTCCCCATCCTAGTACCCACAGAAATGCAGGAATCATCCTGGCTAAGAAACAGAGATTTGTAAGCATGCTATAAATAATCTAAATATACGTCATGCCTCCCCTGGGCAAATGCTATGAGACTCCTTCTGTTTTGAAAGGCTGGGTGTTTCTTGAAAGTGGGACCAGGAAGTATTTCAGCAACTCTGGGGTATCCAGATACTCAGGTTTAACCACCCAGGAGTGATTGCTGGTTCTCGCAGTAGTGATCTGCTGCTCACTATTGTAGCAAGCTAGTCTGTGTCACATACTTCTGAGAGAAGGGGCCAGAACACTCATCAAAACTGGGGTGTTATCAGCTGTTAGCATTTTCATAGCCAATTTCTTTTCCCAAATCCAATTTCTAGTCTAGTGAATACCAGATAATTCATATCTATCTGAGTTTGCATCAGACAGTGAATGAAGAGAATACAATTCAGTTGGCTTGGTGCTACATCTCAAAGTGGATACATCTGACTCAGTTATGAGTGGCTATCTTCTTTCAAAGACTTACTTTATATCCTACCTTTTATATGCCAGGCAATTGTCATCCCGCGTATAACATTCATCAGCACCTGCTGCAAAATAATCCCAGGTAGGCTTGGGAAGATGCTTTCTAGCATATGCTTCAAAATCTGACAAACAGACAAGAGTCATTTCAAAACAAAGTGAGATGAACCTGTTAGGAAGAGAGAGATTGAATAAATATAACAGGAACAGAATTCCAGAGGAAAATCCTAAAATAAAGTTGAAAAAGAAATAGTGTATAAGCAAGAACCTATCATCTAATGAACAAGATCTCACAAAAGCATCTGGAGTTCATTTAGGGCAGGGCTGTCAAACTCGCGGAGTGTAGGCCTGATGCGTCACATGCTGCCCCCGCCCCCTCATTTAGCAAAGAGGGGAAAGTCCTGATATGTCATGTGACGCCACCATGACAGTGTGAGTTTGACACCCCTGATTTAGGTGATCTCAGAAATATAAGCCAAGCAAAGTATGTTGTAATTTCAAGTTATTCTTTTATTATATATTTATACTGCTCTTCACCCAAAACGAATTAAAAATGTGAAATCCACTTCCCTGCCTAGTCTATAGACCTGGTTTTCTTGCCATAATCCATACAAGCAGTAGCCATGTCCAATCTAATCACCACCAAGATAAACCTATTTTATTGAACATGATGATACAACTCAGCACTATTATCTTTTTTTCTTTTCCTTAAAAAAGGAAACTGTTAAAAACATTTTTTCATTTTTGACAGAATCTGATGACTTGTGTAGGCATAGATGCTTATTCTGTGGAAATAAAGCTAGCCAAAGATTGGAGAAATTACATATATATATATGACCTTGTGTGGGAAAGCTCTTTTGGATGGGAAAGAAATGATTCATTCGTTTCCCTATCTGTCGCAGCCTGTTTCAATTAAAATGACAGAAATTGCCATAATGTCCTTTGGTAAGAAATGACCTATAAGAAAAGGGCTGGTACATATATTACTTTGCATTATTGTATTGTTGAAGCTGATTTGCGGGTCAGAAAAAAGTGCCAAAGTGTTCATTTTCCCCAAATTCTCCATGCGTAATCACTGCAACCTGTGAAATGCTCAATCTACTCTAAAATAGGAAGGGATATGATATGATCAATATGTAGAAAGTTGGAACTTCCACAAGTACATTTTTGAAAGAAAACCATTATAGAATGCCAATTATGTTCTATGCAGAACAACATTTCATTGGTCTCCAAGAATGCCTGTAGTGATGAATATCAGGAAGTAGGTTGGAGTGGGGGACTTCTAATGAGTTGAGCTGTTGCACACTTTTGTCTCCATTGTGCATGGATTGCAGGGCATTATAACAAAAAAGGCAGCTGGAAGTGAAAGCTCATTTGCCAAAATCCGCTGTAGAAAAAAGAGAGCTCTGGTAAATACCCACATGTACTTCAACACAGCTGATTTTTGTGATCAGACAGCAGAAATCAACATTTTTGCAGCCATGTGATCAACTGGAAGTCATGGGTTTCATTGTGTTCTGATTGTAAATGCAGCCTTTTGTGGACTCAAGGTTTGACAAAAGCTCACCTTTTGAATAACTTTGGAGTTTATTTTTTTATTGTTTATTTAAAATCGGCAATAAAAACTTCCAGAACTGCAAGCCTACAAATTACTGGGTGAATTTCTCTTCAATTCATTAAAGAAACTATATCTTTTCAGCTTTGTAAGATTTTTTTTTGCATGCATGCATGTATATTTTAGCAATATATAGTAAAGGAGTGACTTCAAAGTTCTTTTTTAAAAGTTTAAAGCTTTTTAAAACTGATTTAAAGAAAAAATTAGAATAGAACAGAAACTTTAAATGTACAATAATCAGCATAAATTTAAATGAAATTTCATTGGATTCAGCTCTCAAACGATAACTACTGTATTTTTCAGAGTATAAGATGCACCGGAGTATAAGACGCACCAAGGTTTTGAAGAGGCAAATTTTTTAAAAGTAGATAGGTAGATAGAGGGATAGAGAGGGAGAGAAAGAGAGAGAAATACAGTAGGTAGGGAGGGAGAGAGAGAGTAGGTAGGTAGATAAAGGGATAGAGAGAGAGAAATAGAGATAGAGAGAATACAGTAGGTAGGTAGTGAGTGTGTGTGTGTAGGTAGGTAGGTAGGTAGAGGAATAGAGAGAAACAGAAAGAGATAGAGAGAGAAATACAGTAGATAGGTTTTCAGCCCCTTTTTTTAAGGAAAAAAGGTGCATTTTATACTCCGAAAAAAATGGTATTATTCATATACCCCCACTACCCTTCCACACATGACACATAGAAACATCACAGTCTAGTTTGAATGTATACATATACATGGTGGGGGAAAAAGAATCCTGCAAATTTACAAGATGGATGGCATAAGGAACAAAACTGTTATAAAATCTAGTAATCTTGCTATAAATACCTCCTTCCAGAGGGGAGCAACAGAAACAGACCAATGAAATGGGTGTGCTTTGAGCTCTAAGCACGTATCGTTTATAAGCAGTATCCTGAATAACAGGAAGTGAGATTCCTATAATCTTCTCAGCTGTTCTTACTACTCTCTGTATTGGCCTTCTAACTGAGGGACTGCTACCACTAAACCAAACAGTAATGCAGTTTGTTAAAATGCTCCCAATTGCGCCTCTGTAAAAAGTGGCCAGGACAGAAGAAGAAAGGTGTGCTCTCCTAATCTGATGCAAGAAATGCAAACACTAGTTTGCATGCTTCAAAGAATTTGAAACTAATTAGAAATATTCCCCCTCTGGGAAAAATCTCTCTATTTTACATTTCAATGCAAAATAAGATTTTAAAGGTCAATTGCTAAAGCACATGATGGCTACTTTGAAAGAAACATTTGATTTGTGAGCTGATGAAGTCCTTGACTTTCTAATTCTTTACTGGAATTAAAAGTTGATGCTGAAGATAAACAAATTTTCTTGAAGACAACTGAAATGGACTTAAAGGTGGATTTTAAAAATACAATTTATAAAAAAGAGATGCCAATACTAAATGTACAAATGGAATTGAATGATCATTTAAAAATCAAAAGGGACATACAGATAATATATCTAGAGAGTGATGTGAACTATCCTTTTAAACTGAAATATTTACTGATGTTATTTCATGGAAATTACAAATGGATTTGGATAAAGATTATAAGAACTTCAAGAAAAGAAAGAAGAGCCTGTAAGAAAACAGGAGTTAAAATTTTATCTATGGAACTAAGGGGTGGTTGGGAGGAGAAGGAAAAAAATAAAATTGGTCTATTTGACTGTGATCAAATAATGAGTTACTATCTTTGGTGATATTGAAAATTCTCAGTCATCAAGATAGAATTGTTTGGAAGCTGCTTGGATGGGCAATGAAGTCTCAAATCAACAAGAAAATAAGTCCAGTTGCCATGACTGAACTTCCAGATATCTTTGGTGATGTTTAATGGTTACCTGGATTTGATTGTTTTGTCCCCCCACTTCTCTCTCTCTCTCTCTCTCTCTCTCTTTCTCTCTCTCTCTCTCTCTCTCTCTCTCTCTTGATGATGCTATGGATTAGTTTGTAATATCTACTTCATTATTTTTGGGTATCTAAATTACAAGTTATTATTTCTGGTAATGTTTAATAACCCTTCACTTTTACTTTATTTTATTTGCAATGTTTAATTGGTATGAGAGCATTGGGGAGATTAAATTAAATGAAAATGAGGATCATATACTTATATTGTTAAGTATTTTGTTAATTAATAAGGAGAGTTGAAGATATAGGGATTAATTTGTAGAAAATTGTGTGAGGTATAGAATGAAGAGGCATCTGGTTGTATAAGAGAGAGAGTACCTATCTAAACAATTTAGGCAAAATAGGTAACCACAAGATTTTATCACAAGATGCCTGTGCAATATACTGTGGAGAGAAAGAAAGGAAGAAGATACAAGACCAATTATGTGGGACACCCTGCCATCCATCAAAAATATTTCAGAACCAAGTAGAATGCAATGTCCAAGATTTGCCAATGGGCATTGCCCACCACCCAGAGGCTACCATACAAGGACAAATCATGCACTACAAAGATTGTTTGGAGGTGGGAGAAACTTCCAATATAATTTACTGGATTCTCTGCATGGATTGCCACTGCGACTATGTGAGATAGACAGGCAGGAAGCTAACCACCAGATTGTGAGGACACGAACAAGCAGTTAGTCAAGAAGACCCAAACTCATTGGGAGCCTCATATGCAGTCAACAATGTAGTATGCATTCCATTTCACAGCTATTACAATTGTTGGCCAAGAAGGGACAAAAATAGCCAGAGAAATGATTGAAGCCTAGGAAAAATGGTCCCTTATCAGTCAAAAGAGGTGCTGATTTACCATCGGTTTATCAAGTACTTAGGAACCAAGCATAGCCAAGGAAACAATAATCAATGACTTAATAGCCAACCATCAACACCTTAATTAACAACTAAAAGCTACACACGACCATGCACCATGTAAATACAACACATAGAAGAACCTAGTGCACATACTCTAGAGAGAGAAGTTTCCTGATGATGGGCTCCTACAAGAGGCACATAGTTGGAAGAATAAACCTTTGGTCCTGGTGACCAATTCACATTAGATCCTTCAACGTTATGCTGGGACACATATATTTGCCTTCATTTTCAAAATAAGTAGGATCTGCCAGTAATAGTGAAGACTGAATTTTCTGGTTGAGCTCCAGGTCCCCACAATCTCAGCAGCTCGACAATCTGAGCCTTTGAAATATCTAGCAGATCATGGAAGGAGAAAAGGATCGCTATGGAAGGGTGCCACAGGTTAAAATACCCTATGGGCATAAAGCTTTTTCTGAACTTAGTGTCCTCCCTGATTAAGTCACTTTAGCTGTAATTGGAAAGAGAAAAGGATAATCATAAGCTTGTCTGATTTCTCTAGAAAAATACATACAGATGCTCCAAAAAAGGAAGATCTCAAGGAGGGAAATCTAGTAAGACCTTTTTAGACCTGGTGTCTATCTCCCTTGATGATCCTAAGTGATCACAACAACTGCTTCACAATCAATTACAAAATAACTGTTGTTACTACTGGATACCCTTTTAGGATTTTCTGCTGACACTAGGGCTGAATTTTTTGGGTGGGTGGGTGTGATTTGTTTATAGATGAGAGGTGGGATAAAAAGATAAATGTTTGTAACTTTAGATAGAATGAGTAGTTATTAATTTTTTTATATTTATTATGATAAGGGTTGGATGTCATTTCTTTATATATTTCTTTTCTCTTTATTATACTCTTACACTTTTTAGCATTAGCAATAGCAATAGCACTTAGACTTAAATACCATTTCACAGTGCTTTACAGCCCTGTCTAAGCGGTGACAGTGTCAGCATATTGCCCCCAACAATCTGGGTCCTCATTTTACTAACCTCGGAAGGATGGAATGCTGAATCAATCTTGAGCCAGTGAGAATCAAACCCCTAGCACTGAGCAGAGTTAGCCTGCCACACTGCATTCTAACCACTGCGCCACCATAACACTTTTATTCCTATATTCTCTTTTCTTTCTTTCAGTTTAATTTGTATTATATTTTATTATAATAAATTACAATATGGGACATATACTTGTGCATATTAAAATGGAAGTGATCCTTTTCATTCATTTCAGTCAGACAAGTGGAAGACTTGTGAACGCCATTACACAAGCCAAATTACAAACTGTTCAGCTAGATCCCTTGCCTCCATCATCCATTTCCCTCCCATACCCTTTCAAAAACTTACTTACTTTTAACACCAGAATAGCCGCAGGTAAAAGACTTTGCTCCAGCGTGGATTTTAAGAGAATCGGGAATGTATACAAGCACTTTGTAAGAACAGGAGTTCCTTAGTTTATGGAGGATAAATGCTAGAAATTTAATAAACTACTACAAGAGGTTAAAGGTTAACTTCTGCAATAAACTTTGTACTGTTTGCCCTGTCCTGAAAATGCTCTGATCACGCAATGGTATCCAAGACCCCGGAAGTTTTACAGAAGCAAGGATGATGAAATCATTATGCAGTGTGGAAAAAATGTGGGCAGTGCTCCTGCATTTTACAATGGAGAAGGCCTGCATATTTTCAGAGCATTTATGATTGGCAGATTTCTTCAGAATCTACTCAACCCCAGAAATTTAGACTTTTATGAGTTATTTAGCATACATATTTATACCAATTAAATGGTTCCTCATGTTGTACGTTCTTGCTAGAAGATTGCTTGTTAAGACAAGAGGGGCTTTTTACAAGCAGAACTGCTAGAGAGAAAATGCTATTATAGCCACAAGAAGTCATGTACCTTTCCAAGCAAGAGCAGTCAAGGAAGCAAATAATGCAGTACCTAAATTGCATGTTAACAACTCTTGTTAGATTATTAATCTGCTATTGGTACATGCAGAGAAAATGGCACCAATCTCATCCCTTAGATTCTGCCTACATTCCCTAGAAACTGAGCATTCTCCCCATCTCCATCCCCACTCTTACCTTGTCTCAGAGCCATTATTTACATTTTATTTATTTGTTTGCAAGAACTTTGTTTCCCAGAAAGACCAGAAGGTCAATGTTCCATTGCAGGGGCATTGATCATAGTTTCTTTCTTAAAATTACATCTCTTAACAATAATAAGACAACTATTATGTAAATGAATGAATCCACCTTTAGAAGATGGATGAGTTTTAGATGCAGAGTGTGATTTTAAGAACTTTTTATACAATGGAGAAAACTCTTTGGTACATGGGAATCAAACAAGGTTGTATACTCACACACACACACACACACACACACACACACACACACACACTGATTCCCCCCTCCGACCTGCAAATCACTCAGCCACAGGCTTGGCTGTTTGCCACTCTTTAATCATGGAGTTATCGACTCCTTTGGCTGAAGGCCCAGACAAGACTCACATGCAAGAATAGTTGGCAGCAACCCAAAATATAGCTAAGAGTACAGTTCCACTAATAGAGAGTGCAATCAACCAATAATCAACAGAAAGCAAACAATGGCAAGCTTCACACACACACACACACACACACACACCAGTGGTGGGATTCAAATAATTTACCAACCAGTTCTCTGCCTTAATGACTAGCTGGGTAGGCGGGGCTTGGTGGTCATGTGATCATGTGGGCGCGGCCAAGTCAATGTCACTCATGGTGATGGGCACTTTGCCTTAGTTGTTACAATGGTAATAAGGGTTAACTGGAGATGCAGTTTCTGTAAGCAGGGCACTAAAGATTATTCTAGAAACAACACCAGAATGTTTCCTTCCTGCCTTCCTTACAGGATTAGCCCTGCAAAGTGGAAAAAACCAAAATGAGATTTCCTCCAAAAACCGGTTCTCCGAACTGCTTAGAAAATTACCAACCGGTTCTCCTGAATAGGTGTGAACTGGCTTAATCCCACTACACACACACACACACACACACACACACACACACACACACACACACTAATTACAAGAACTCAAAAGAGTAGAGTGTGAGGGCTGACTGACATGTTTTGGAGTTAAACAGAGTGTTTCAACAATATACATTTAGGGGATTTTGTGAATCTCTGATAAAGGATAGAGTGATATGTTAAATACAAAAGAGAGGCTACCGAAAGAGTATCACTTGACCCTGGATAAAATATTTGTAAGCAGATCAGTGTAGATTTGATGTTTCAAAAGCAAATTTAGGCTGCTCCACAGAGTGAGAGATTAGCGCCAACACTTTATGGGCAGTTGCTATGACTGCAGAGATCTATAGGTATTCTGGCTAAGTCAGTAAAGTTCCAGGCGGAGTGATGGGTAGTGCATTAATATGGAAAACCTCACATCACAAACTAGTCAACATTTCTTATACCAGTAAATGAGCCGGCAAATGTGTATGGCTACAATATGCTGCACAGAAGGCATGCCAAAAATGATTTGGATTTGTTTGGTATTAGAAGAGGAAGGGAATTTTTGTTAGATAGGGAGCAAGCACAACCATGGGGAAGGATGATTGGGGCTCGTTTTGTTATTGTACACTGTCCAGAGTCAGTTTGTAATTGGGTGGTGCCTAAATTGAGTTTTACTGACCAAAAGAGAGATGGAGAAGAACCTTCAGCCTCCAGGCTAACTCCAGCCCACTACTTACCTTGCCAGGCAGCTACCTTGAAATTCTAGGCTTGAATAGGCTAAGAACTTCCAATTATTTCCTTGCAAAGCACCGCTCCAATCTCTGGGATCAGTGCTTCCTAAAAACTTTTCTCACTCCCTCATTTTCTCCTAAATTAGAGCCAGGTGCAATCGCCTACTTCATCTATGCAGATGATTCTTTATTCAGGAAGCACAAGGCAATGGTTCAGCAAATATGGTATTTGTCAGGACATTCTAGTTGAAAGATCTGCTTCAGGTTTGCCAGCCTGTTCTTTTCTTATATGTGAGACTGTCACTGATAGACACCCATTGAAGAAAAAGTTTGCTTCCCCAGTTGCTGAACTTATCTTTCAGGCCCATAACCAGTATACCTTCATTGCAGTCCTATGGGACACCTATTAACTTTTCTTGACCTACTTTTTAAGGAGGGAACAAATCTTAATACTTGAGCTAATTAAGGGCATATAATTTGCCACTCAAGGACAGAGACTAAACATCTGAGATAGAATATAACAGAGCTGGAAGGGACCTTAGACGTCTTCTAGTCCAGCCCCTTGCTCTGACAGGATACCCTATACCATTTCAGAGAAATGGCTGTCCCCCTGCTCTTCTTAAAAACCTCCAGTGATGAAGCAGCCACAATTTCTGAAGGCAAGCTGTTCCACTGGTTAATTGTCCTCACTGTTAGGAAGTTTCTCTTTAATCCCAGGTTTTCTCTTTGATTAGCTAGAAGTCTCCAATTTTGGTCTGCAGAAGCACAGAACATCTCCTGTTGGTTTGAGCTCTGAGCTTGGCAATTTGGTTGCAAATGTTTCTTCACCATTCAAGAGACATCATCAGGTGACAAAACATTTGAAACCAAATTACCAAGCTCAAACCGACAGCCTAACTACCAACTTAAGCTACTAATATTCAAACAGATTTCAACAGAATATCTCCTCTGTATCAATCATCACTCAAAGAACTACATGTTTAACCTGTTTTGTATTGTTATTTATTCTTGCCCTGGTTTTAGACCCACAGAAACATTTGAGTGTTGAATTTTTCGTATTGTTGAAGCTATTTCGGGAATAAATGAACCACTAGGTGTCACCACAACTCCACAGATCTCTTTTGGTAGACCACTATCATGTTGGTTGTTGGGATACATGATTACCCATTTGTGTAAGTAAATCCCCTAAGCAGGGATTTACTTAGCTTTCCTGACTCCATTGTTGCATTTGATTATATATCCTTTTCCCCATCTTCTAAGAATGTTCGTTTTAAATCACATCTCATCGCAATGTTCCCTCTGCAGGTCGTATTTCTTTTTCTGGTTTCCTTTCCCATGGAAACTTAAAATTATGATGGTAATATTTCTGTTTTAGAGTCTGTCTTGAACATTCTTTCTTTCAGAATGTTTGGCAAATTCCCCATAGGCAAAAAGATAAATTTCATGAGATTACAAATGTTAAATGATAAAAAATAAAGTGGTAAACAAAATGACAAGCCCAATATATATTTATATAATATATAAATGAAAATAAAAACTTCAAAAAATATACCATTGTGAGGCAAAATGATTGGCAGAATTAGATTGTTTGAAAGTCTTTATCTTATTGCCTAAATCAGAGGTGTCAAACTCAATTTCATTGAGGGCCATATCAGGATTGTGTTTGATCTTGGGGGGCTGGGGTGGGCATGGCCAGGGTTAGCATGGCCAACTTGACTTCACTTGTGTCAGGGGCGCCTGTGGTGGCCTGTGTGTTCTGCTAGTGAAAACGGGCTCCCAATCTCCATTTTCGACTGGGATAGACTCCTGCAACCCTCTGCATGCGGCTTTCCCAAGCTCCATTTTTGCTGGCAGAGGGTTGCAGGCGGCCATCCCAGCCGAAAACGGACATTGGTAGCCCATTTTCACTGGTAGAACCACCTTTTTGCTGTCTTTTGCTGTTTCCAGGGCAGCCCCACGGGCCAGATCTAAGCACCCTGTGGGCCTTGAGTTTGGTACCCCTGGTCTAAAGCTTTTGCTTCAAATGTCTACTAGTAGCCTGTATCGTTTCCTGCAAATCAGGGTTTGTTATTCAATGCAGTTCAACAGTCCCTTTACTTGCACTTCATTTTTGAATTAAAAAGTTTCTTGTATGTGTAATGAATACAAAATTAACATATCTGTTGTATTAATCTCATTTTAAAACTAAATGAAGTTAGTTTAGACTAATATTCTTAGAAAACTTTAGAATAAAAGGTTTTCAGCATATTCATTTCCATGCATATTAGTTATTTCTTTTTGTTGGATGCATTTTTTTCCAGCAAGTTATACTATTCATTTCCATATGCCAGTTATGAATTGTAAGTGATTCCTGAATAGGTAACATACAGAGATATACAATCTTTCCTGCATTAAGATTTCAAGTACGTATTGTGCATAGTTTACAGACATTGGAACTGTGAATAATGCCACATCTCTGCACAATGTACACTCTGTCCCAACACACAGCAGTACAATAATGTCCTGGCATGCGAATATAAAGCAATGTTTCTCAAACTTGGTAACTTTAAGATGTATAGACTTCAGCTCTCAGAATTCACACATCTTAAAGTTGCCATGAAGGAACACTAACATAATGCATTGGAATGCCTCATCTTATAGGCGAAGTTAAGTTACCTGTTGTGGATGTGACAAAAGATATATTCTGAGTTTGTTGAGAGAAATTGACATGCTCCTGTCCTCTCATCACTACCTAGTTTCACCGTAGACTGTTTTCTCACTATCTTTGTCATCTCAATTATTTCCT